GAGCTTTTTTTTTTTTTTTTTGAGTTGGAGTCTCACTCTGTCGCTCAGGCTGGAGGGCAGTGGCACGCTCCCAACCATCGCAGCCTCGACCTCCTGAGCTCTAGTGATCCTTCCGCCTCAGCCTTCCAAGTAGCTGGAACTACAGGCACGCTACCACGCCTGACTAATTTTTTTTTAATTTATTGTAGAGATGAGGTCTCACCAAGTTGCCCAGGCGGGTCTCGAAACCACGGGCTCAGGCAATTCACTTACCTCAGCCTCCCAAAGGCGTGGGATTACAGGCTGAGCCACTGAGCCCGGCGGCCACAGCTTTTTAAAGGGGGTCCAGAGCTCCTTGGAACGAGACGGCCATGGGGGAAGATGCTGCCCGAGGGTCAGAGTTCAGCCATCCCTCCTCCTTGGAGATGGTGGATTTTGTTTTGTTAAAGGAGAATGGCCTCCCTTTTCAGGATATTCAGCCTCTGACTCCCAAAGACTGAAGGGGGCAGAGGCCACATCACTGATCTCTATCACCCTCATGTAGTACATACTGTGCCCGCGGCAGGTGTGGCACCTGCCAAGGGAGGAGCCCCTCTGCGGGAATGCGCTCCTTGGCCTCAGAGAGCACACCCACCTGGTCCACAAACACACTCAGAGGGCCTACTCTATGTCCGCGGTGACAAGTAGGCAGACAGGGCACAAAGCAAAAAATAAGCAAGATGACGACGGAGAATCAGAAATGCCATGGAACAGGTGGAGAAAGTGGCAGAGAAGGGGGGCAGGAAGAAACTGGAAGTCAAATCTACCTCCAGAACGTAATTCCAAAGCTGTCCACTATAGTCAGTGAGGCCATTACAGGAAGGGCTCAGCCCCAGGAGGGTCCACAGGACAGGAGTGTCCCAGTCTGACAGTGTGAAAGCTCTGAGGCAGGGATGTGCTGTGAGGCCAGTGTGGCTGGAGTCTGGCGGGTGAGAGAGGGACAGGAGGGACGGCGCGGGGTTAGCATGTGGCTTCGGCTTCGTAGGCTGCAGCATGAACCATGGGTTCCTTCTTTGTGTAATAGGAAGTGATAAGATCTGGCCCATGTTTAAAAAGATGACCTGGCTGGGCGTGGTGGCTCATGTCTGTCATCCCAGCGAGAGGACTGCCTGAGCCCAGGGGTTCAAGACCAGCCTGGGCAACTTGGCGAGACCTCATCTCTACAACAAATCAAAGAATTAGCCAAGAGTGGTGGCGCTTCCTGTAGTTCCGGCTACTTGGAAGGCCGAGGCAGAAGGATCACCGGAGCCCAGGAGGTCCACGCTGGGATGGCCGGAGTGTGCCACTGCACTCCAGCCTGGGTGACAGAGTAAGACTCTGACTCAAAAAAAGAAAGAAAGAAAAGATGATCTGAGAGTTGTGTCAACAGGCTGCATGGGGACAAGAACGGAAGCAGAAGGGATAGGGAGGAGGCTTTTGCCATCTTCAGGCAAGAGACGATGAGAGCTTGGCAGTGGAGACGGAGAAGCTGGTGGATTTGGAATCACGTTCTGGAAGCAGACTGACATCCAGTTTCCTAGACTGAGCAGGATGGGGTAAAGGAAGGAAAGGACTCCTGGGTTTTGAACTTGAGCAACTGAGTAGGTTAGAACGGGGGGAGAAATAACAGGCTTTCTCTTGGGTACATTTCGTGTAAGTGTTCTACTAGACATGCGTGAGATGAGTTGGAGATGCACTCTTGCTAGTCAGCTGATGCTGGGATGTGGGTGGGGGTCACAGCTGGAGACATACATGGGAATTGTTGTGTGAATCATGAGAGCCGTGGGACTGGAGGAGTACGCCCAGTGTAGACGAAGGAAAGAGGTTCTGGGGCTGAGTCTTGGGACCTCCCCAAGTTTGAAGTTAGGCAGAGAAAGTGAAGGTGAATATAAAACAAGGTGATAAGCTGGGAGTGGTGGCGCACACCTATAGTCCCAGCTGCTTGGGAGGCTGACATGGGAGGACTGCCTGAGCCCAGAAGGTCGAGGCTGCAGTGAGCTATGACTGCACCACTGCACTCCAGCCTGAGCAACACAGCAAGAACCTGTCTCTAAAATAAAAAGTTTGACACTCCCCCCAAAACAGGGTGACTACTGGGTGGGACTACTAGCTCAGTGAGGAGACCCTCTCACCCAAAAAGCAAACATAAAATTCCACAAAATTGACAACCCCCCAGTTTAGCACTGAAAATAGACCAAAGGCATTCAGCACTCAGAAGCATTTCCGCTTGCAAAACCTCCGAACCCCAGACGAGGGCGCGGGACACGGGGCTCTCTTCCGGTGCTGCTCGTTTCCCACCCCTGGCGCTCGGCTGGTGTGGGGGCTCTGCCAAGGGGGCAGGGGTGAGACCGGCAGCTCCCCCGTGGGAGGAAGAAAAGCACCCGATGCCCTTTACCTGCGGCGACACTGCTGGGGGAAGTGACCATCGTCGCAGCGTGAGCAGGAAAGGCGACCTCTGGCCACAAGCTCTCCTAGCCTGAGGAACACACACGGTGGGCAAGTGTGTTCCTGGCTGAAACCGTGTGGCAGCAGAAACCTGCAAGGCCCAAGGCAGCCACATGCCCACGGTCCGTCCTGAGGCAGCGCACACAGGCATGAGATGCAAACTGACCCCTGGGGGGTAAAAGCCAGGGCGACTTCAGGCAGCCAGACCTGAACACACTTCCCCACCACCAGCACACGCGACAGGGTAAGGCCCGACCCACAAAACTTCACGTAGACGGTCAGGAGTCGAGAAGATGGCCCGACCACACTTGCCTGTGCTCCGCTATCCACATGCAACTCGAATCCAGCTACCCACCGTCCCTGCACAGTGGAAAAGGCATGATATAGAAAACTAGGTGCTTAGAAAATCATCAGAAGCCGGGCTCGGTGGCTCAGCCTGTAATCCCGCGCCTTTGGAAGGCTGAAGTGAGTGGATTGCCTGAGCCTGCGGGTTCGATACCTGCCTGGGCAGCAAGACCTCATCTCTACAATTAATCAAAAAATCAGCCGGGCGTGGTAGCACATGCCTGTAATTCCGG